TCTGAGCTAACAGCTAGTCTGAGCTAACAGCTAGTCTGAGCTAACAGCTAGTCTGAGCTAACATGGAGTCTGAACTAACATGGGGTCTGAGCTAACAGCTAGCCTGAGCTAACAGCTAGTCTGAGCTAACAGAGTCTGAGCTAACAAGTAGGCCAAGGTAACGACTAGTCTGATTGATCATGTAGTTTAAACTAACAAGTACTCTGAGCAAATGGCTAGTCTGAGATAACAGCTAGCCTAAGCTAACAAGTAGTATGAGCTAAAAGCTAACTTAAACTAACAAGTAGTCCAAGGTTACAGCTAGTTGGACTGATCAGGTAGMCCAAGCTAACAAGCAATCTGAGCTAAATGCTAACCTGAGCTAACAGTCGTCTCAGCACCGTTGAACCTTTGAAGTTGTTTTAAGACAGATWCAGCCTCGGCCTTTGCTAAGATTAGCCTTTAGCCTTTAGCTTGTTAATCTGGTCAGAACAAACTTTATTTCTACAAACTGAAGTTGTTCAAAGGGCAACAATATCTCCAACAAATGTTCGACACTTAAACTGAAATCTACTTTAGCTGGACCCGACCTGGCCTTAATGTTCACCAAAGAAGAGCAACGTGTGCTTTAAAGATTCAGATCAGCAGCTGGAGCTTCGGCTCCGAGCAACATTTTTAACTCGTTTGTTTTTGATCGTTAGGAAGAACCTGGCTGAGGAGCTCAGAAGGTTTAGTTTGGATCTGCCTCTTGCCTGAAGACGTTAACTACACGCTTGTTGATGATTTAGTGCAAATAAACCCTCATGAGTAGAACAACTTAAATCCACAGCGTTTCTTTTTAAAAACATTATCCTCAGAGCAGAGCTCCACCCTCGGTCCTGACCAACAATAAACAAAGAGGATGTAAACGTTTGTTTCTCTGACTTCCTGTGGGCAGTGGGCAGCGTTAGAGGGAGCGAGAGGTGAAAAATCGAACTTGAACACCCTGTGGAGACGACCCGGAGRGTCGCCGCTCCCTGAGGGCGGAGCTCCGGGTCGACAGAGTAAGGCAAACACGGTTTCAGGACATCCATGGGAATCTGAGGCCACGGCGAGCCAGCCAGGAGCAGGCGGGTCCCTGACGAGGGCCGTCAGTACAGACAACACAAGGCCAGGGGGACGAGCGCCGCCGACAGGAAGTAGGTGATTCTGTACAGGTGGAGCGAGGAGAAGGTCACCATGGTGATGGCCAGAGGAAGAGGGAGGAAGGACGTCAGGGGCAGGAGTCGACTGGAAGAAAACAAATTTAATTATTGGATATTCTTATTATTTACTTCAGTAACTCTGAGGAATCCTCAGGTTATTAATGCTCTGGAGTCCAGGCTGAAATGAGATGTTTTTACCTTCAGATCTCCTTTTATCTTTAAAATATAAAATATAATAAAATATAAACCTGGCAGGTTAAAACCCTGGTTCCCTGGTTCTTTATGTTTGCTGCCTTCTTGTTAGTTTTTCTGCAGAATGTTCCGTCTGTAGATAAATCAAGTTTTTTTTAACTCTAAGTGGGTTTAACTGGACTCCAGGTGTTCTGAGGCTGGAACCTGCTCACCTCTGAGGAAACACAAACATCTACTGTGTTCTCCAGAGCTCTGAACAGAGGGTTAAAGGCCAAGGAGTTAGTAACAATTAGTCTGAACTAACAGCTAGTCTGAGCTAACAGCTAGTCTGAACTAACAGCTAGTCTGAACTAACAGCTAGTCTGAGCTAACAGCTAGTCTGAACTAACAGCTAGTCTGAACTAACAGCTAGTCTGAGCTAACAGCTAGTCTGAGCTAACAGCTAGTCTGAGCTAACAGCTAGTCTGA